CGTATCCCGCGCGGCCGCCCGGCTGTCGTATCCCGCGCGGCCGCCCGGCTGTCGTATCCCGCGCGGCCGCCCGGCTGTCGTATCCCGCGCGGCCGAGGGGGCCTCAAACGGGATGGCGGAGGAGGTGAGGTGGGAGGAAGCGTCCGGCGTGGGGCGGGCCCCGACTCCGACCCCCGGGGCGCTCAGAGCCCCCCAGCGGGTAGCCGAGGCACAGCCTTTTCACCCAGGCCAGTAGCGGCCGCCGCGCGCACCCCGGTCCAGCCTAACACGCGCGCCTGAGCGAGCCCTGGGCTCCCCTCGGGCCCTTCGCAGCGCGGGGGTCAGTGGTTCTCTCGGGTCTCGGGACAGGTGAGCGCCCTGATGAAGGCCACGGTCCTGATGCGGCAGCCCGGGCGAGTGCAGGAGATCGTGGGCGCCCTCCGCAAGGGCGGCGGAGACCGGTTACAGGTACCTCTGTGGCGAGGTGGGGGCAGCTGGGGCGGCTTCCTACCCATTGGGCCTTCCCGCTTTCCTCGGCTGCGGACCCTGCTAGCTCTCCGCCCCAAGAAATGGCCGGGAGCTTGAACGAGAGTGGGTTGGTTCGCCTGTCCTAAAACCTAGATTTCAGATTTCTCAATCTGGTCATGCTGCTTCCTCTAATTGGACAGAAGGCTCCCCAAACCAGTACCTGGGGCCTTATCCTCACCGGGCCAGCGCCTCCCCAATAAGTTGAAGATGTCCAGATGGGTCGTAATGCTGCAGATCTCTTAGGGAGGACCTGATATTGAAGGAGTTAGAGGGGTCCTGAGTCTTCACCCTCACCCCCACACTAGGAGACTGCGTTTTCCTGGGGTTAACAGGGGTGCTAATTAGGATCACTTCCTCCCTATTCCTCTCTGTCTCTCAGTAACTCCCCTATGGCTTTGCCTATATCCTGACCACTGAACTGTTTTGATTTCCATAGTCATCCCCCAGGCTGAGGCAGAGCCACACTAGAAGGTGCCCATTTAGGCATCATCTCTCTTTTGCCTTATAGGTGATTTCTGATTTTGACATGACCTTGAGCAGGTTTGCATATAATGGAAAGCGATGCCCTTCTTCTTACAGTAAGTCACATACTAGCTTCCCTTGTTGGGCTTGACAAGATGATGGGTTCTAAGGGACAAGTAAAAGGAGTTTTCTCTTTTTCCAGATATACTGGATAATAGCAAGATCATCAGTGAGGAGTGTCAGAAAGAGGTGGGTTACTCCCGTCCTTTGCTCACAAATGGCTGTCATGTGCTTCTTCACATGGTTCCTGGTTGGAACTGAAGATTCCAGTAGAGAGACCTTAGAAAATTAAGTTTTTTGTTTTTTTGTTTTTTGAAATGGAGTCTTGCTTTGTGCAGTCTTGATCTCGGTTCGCTGCAACCTCTGCCTCCCGGGTTCAAGCGATTCTCCTGCCTCAGCCTCCCGAGTAGCTGGGACTACAGGTGCGTGCCACCACACCCAGCTAATTTTTGTATTTTTGGTAGAGACGGAGTTTCACCATGTTGGCCAGGATGGTCTCAATCTCTTGACCTTGTGATCCGCCCGCTTTGGCCTCCCAAAGTGCTGGGATTACAGGCATGAGCCACGGCGCCCGGCAGAAAATTAAGTTTCTAAAAAAGTGTTGATTTGCTAAGGAGGATCTAGTTTTAATACATTAAGAGAGCTTGTCCTTACTGGCCAGGACATATAGTGATTAATGGTTGAAACTGGACATTATGCTGACTGTGATCCGCGTAGAGTTTAGAAGAGATTTGAACATTATGGGGGTTCAGCAACTTACCCAGGGTCATACAGCCAAGTGGCAGAGCTTGTTTGTTTGTTGTGAGACAGGGTCTCACCCTGTTACTAAGGTGGAGTACAGTGACTTGATCATTGCTCACTGCAGCCTTGACCTCCTAGGCTCAAGCAATCCTCCTGCTTCAGCCTACCTAGTAGCTGGAACTACAAGTGTGTGCCATTACACCTAGATAATTTTAAAAAATTTTTGTAGAGGCTGGGCACGGTGGCACGTGCCTGTAGTCCCAGTTACTTGGGAGGCTAAGGTGGGAGGATTGCTTGAGCCCAGGAGTTCTAAGCTGTAGTGTGCTATGCTGATTGGGTGTCCACACTAAATTCGGCATCCATATGGTGACCTCTGGGAAGCGGGGGACCACCAGGTTGCCTAAGGAGTGGTGAACCGGCCCAGGTCGGAAACAGCAGGTCAGAACTCCCATGCCCATCAGTAGTGGGATCTCGCCTGTGAATAGCCACTGTACTCTAGCCTGGGCAACATAGCGAGACTCCGTCTCTTTTAAAAAAATTTTTTTGTAGAGATGGGGTCTTACTATGTTGCTAGGCAGGTCTTGAACTCCTGAGCTCATGCAACCCTCACTTGCAGGGTGAGTGTAAAGGAATGACCAGTTCTGTGGGTCCAGGTGCTCCCTGGACCTCACCAAATAGGTAAAAATTTGAGTGTATTGAGCAATTATGTTGGAAGATAAGAAGAGAAGAGAAACTTAGGTCTTATAAATGACATGTCTCCAAAGGAAAACTTCAAGAAAATTTCATGTAACACTCTTACATGAAGTTGCATCTTTTTTTTGAGACATAGTTTTACTCTGTTGCCCAGGCTGGAGTGCATTTGTGCGATCTCTGCTCTCAGCTCACTGTGACCTCCGCCTCCTGGGTTCAAGTGATTCTCATTCTTCAGCCTCCTGAGTACCTGGGATTTTTTTTTTTTTTAATTTTGTTTTGTTTTGTTTTGTTTTGAGACGGAGTTTCATTCATGTTACCCAGGCTGGAGTGCAATGGCGCGATCTCGACTCACCGCAACCTCCGCCTCCTGGGTTCAGACAATTCTCCTGCCTCAGCCTCCTGAGTACCTGGGATTTTTTTTTTTTTTAATTTTGTTTTGTTTTGTTTTGTTTTGAGACGGAGTTTCATTCATGTTACCCAGGCTGGAGTGCAATGGCGCGATCTCGACTCACCGCAACCTCCGCCTCCTGGGTTCAGACAATTCTCCTGCCTCAGCCTCCTGAGTAGCTGGGATTACAGGCACGCACCACCATGCCCAGCTAATTTTTTGTATTTTTAGTAGAGACGGGGTTTCACCATGTTGACCAGGATGGTCTCGATCTCTTGACCTTGTGATCCA